AACTTCAACTTTGCAACATATACACCATAATTACAACTTCCAACTTTTCACCACTTTCACGAGACATAAGACATTCGTCAAGCGTCTCGCCGTTCCTCTCCAGCCTTCTGTATTATATTTTGTTTTTTCTTTATAACATCTTAATAAAAAGGCTTTGACTCCAAAAAAAAAAAAAAAATAAGAATTAAACTATTTCAAATGAAAAACATGAACGTAAGTAAAGTTAGCACCAGATTCGAGTTCTTACTGTCTGAATTCGCTCCTGAACTTGAGTTAATTTTGGTTCAACTTGAGTTATATGCAGAATTTTACGGCGAATCTGATGGTGTAAAGATCAAGGGGATCATCAAGCAAAAATCAACACTTGATCCCAAAATACTGGTTTTTTCAAAAATTTTCTGAAAGATTTTCCTGTCCAGATTCGCTATGTTGCTTGAGTTGGGTCTAAAATTGGTTGAGTTAGACTCGGCTCGAAATTCTGCATCGAATGATGTCAATTTAATGTGGGATCATCCGCGAAAAAAAATTTTCACTTCACCCAATCCCACCCCTCAGAGATCATCCTCACCCTCATCCACTCGAAAAATTTTTTGTCCGATAATTTCATATAGAATTGTCATCATTCGATGCAGAATTTCTGCCTGAGTCTAACTCAACCAATTTTAGACCCAACTCAAGCAACATAGCGAATCCGGACAGGAAAAACTTTCAGAAAATTTTTGAAAAAAATCAGTATTTTGGGATCAAGTGTTGATTTTTGCTCGATGACCCCCTCGATCTTTACACCATCAGATTCGCCGTAAAATTCTGCATATAACTCAAGTTGAACCAAAATCAGCTCAAATTCAGGAGCGAATCCAGACAGTAAAAACTCGAATCTGGTGCTAACTTTACTTACGTTTTTATTTCTTTATTTTGTAATATTTTCATACAAAATTGATTAAATATTAATTTTTGAGTATCTTCAAAATTCAAATCCAATGCAATATCTCGAATAAGTTTGTTAAAACAATGATTTAATCGATTAAATGAATGAAATATATCGAAAGTATTGAAATATTCAAAACATTGAATTAAAATTTCATTCGGTAACAATTCAAACTTCATGATTATTTGCATGTCATTCATATTCAAGATAATTTTCAGCACGAAAAGCAATCTATTTTTACCTTTGTTATAGCAAAAAATATCTATGAAATTCTGTGTATCGATATAAAATCCCGACGACATGATCGTTATATTCTATCGGTCATTTTATGGGTAGTAATGAAGAAGTTCGACAGAAGACGTATCTTGACGGAGACAGTATCATTAGAGAGGCAACGATAAGAGTGTCCGCAGTCTTGATATGTGGAGAAAGACTATTAGATAGTAACGATATCTGTTAAACCTCAATCCAAATCTAAAAATATTATATCGAAGTTGTGGAATTGAATTTTCTCAGTTAGTAACAGTATATTTCAAGTCAATAGTTGACTGTTATAAAAGCACTATTAGTTCGTGAGACAAAAGTTTTTCCTGAACGAAAAAACAAAACTTGAGAAATTCGGTAAATGACTAATAGATCTGAATACTTCAACCTCGAAAACCTTTAGTCAAGATTTGAAAAAGATCGTTATTTTAAAAAATAATGTTTCTTTGTTGGGAAAAATCGAAAGCAAATCTAAAATGATCGTAATTTTATTAGATGTTCATCGTCTACATCGTTTTTCAATCAGTGAATACCAAGGACATTAGCACTGTATCACTATAGACGAATGCATCGATATTACAGTGGACCAATGACACTAGTCGAGAGAGGCTCTTCAACAGAGATGTTAATGATTTGACCCGTTTTTGACTCAATCGGTCTCTCAGAAGTCTGGTCAAATTTGCACAATCAGTTGTTTCATTGTTTACTCTTTCGTTTATTCTAAAGATCATCAGATCTAACCATAAGCAAAATTTCAAGTCACAATTTCCCACTTTGATTTTTTTACGTAAATACACGGGAATGGGTTGAAAATTCAATAACACGGCCATAATTTTTGAAGGACGAGCAGCGGGGCGGAAAATTCCTTCAGACTTTTTACTACTTCAATATATTCGATCTAGTGAGATATAAATGAGTTAAAACGGGAGGTGTCATCTCGAATGGTTCCCTCGTTACAGCACGTTATAGAATCTGATTCGAGTTCTTACTCCTCCACAGACTGAAGTTTTAACATTTCTAAGTATATTTATTATGTTTCATCATTATTGAAAACTCATTAAAAAAGTATTTCGATTAACGATTTTATCTATATATTAAATATGAAGTTTGTATTCAATTTTCCCATACGATAATTTTATGATCGTTTTAACTTGCAATGATTCATAATGAACGTTTTATTTTGTAAGATACCATTTGTACTAACTGTTAGTTGCGTTTCTTCTAGATGACAAATAAATTTGCTAGGAGTTACCGGAGAGTCTCATTTCAGGTACTTTGTTTATTTATCTAATAACTAGTTAGTAATAGGCGCCTCAAAACGAAAATAATAAACAAATAATTAAAAAAAAAATGATTAACTTTTATTTAACACGACTTGTTTTTGAATATTGAAATGTCACGTATCAAATTTTTATAATTTATTCGACGGGCAAAAAAAAAGAAAAAACTTAGCGGACATGTTACTACAAATCATGTTACTAGAGTTAGTCTTAGGATAATAATTTCAAGTTAAATAAATAAAGAATATCAATTAAAAAATGCTATGCATCTCAACATCTATATTATCTATGTAGGTATTATTTTCCAAAGACTAATTGTAGTAAGATGTCCGGTAAGATTTTCCCTTTTTTTCTTTTTCGCCCTGCTCTAACTGACGGGGGAAAATCTTAGTGAGCATGTTACTACAACTAGTCTTTGAAAAATAATCTCAACATAGACAAAATGGATTTTGAAATCCATAGCATTTTCTAACTGATTTTCTTTATTCATTTAACTTGAAATTATTTTCCAAAGATTAATTATATTAACATGTTCGCTAAGATTTTCCTTTTTTTTGCCCCCTTTTTTTTTGCTCTTATTTCTATATTCTACGTAAATCTTTAATTACAAATACAACCAACATGCAAATTCCATCAATTGTATTAAAAGATGATCATTTCTTTCTTATACAAACACTCTCGAATTTAACTTATCAATCTCTTCATATTGATGATGCTATCCAGATAATTTCTAATGAAAAAAGATTAAAAATTTCTGAATGTAAAAAATCAAATCGATCTTTATTTGATAAACAAGAACATAAAATTCCATCAATTTTTGAAAAACAACAAACTCAAATATTTACTAATACTATATTTGACGTCTATATCCCATTTATTAATAGAATGATTAGTCAAGGTACAAAATATATTGGAAAAATTCAATCATATGTTCAGGGAGATCGCAACAATAATAAACTTTTTTTTAACATTACTGGTGGTTACCGATTTTGTCCTAAAAAAGGGACGCATCATAAACGAAATGGTACAGCCATTATAATAGATATATCACATGATACATATGCTATAAGATGCAAAGATCCATGTTGTGATAATAGCTTTTTAACATGGCACCATATAGATAAATAATAAAAAAATAAACATTATAGCTCATAAATCTTTTATTATGCATATATATATATATAAAGAAATAAAAATAATTTTTGGAATAAATATTTAACTGATTATTATATAAACTTGTTCTAGAGAGATTTATTGAGTTCTCTCTATGCCTATAAAATTTTAGGATTTTCTGATTTAATTATTTTGCGCGTTGAAAATTGATAAATTTTTATAACATGAGTCATCATTCATAAAAATATTATTATTATAAAAGCGCGAATATGAATTTATTTCATATTTCAATTTTTTTTATTTGAATAAATATTTTCTTTTCATCCACAACTCTTGAATTATTACTAAATGATTGACTTTATCTTATATTCAATTTATGTAAGTTATATGATTATTTATCTTCGTGGAATTCATGATCACATTTTCTGAGCGAGTTGGAAAAAAAAAGATAAAAATTTCTAATCGATCACGTGTATGGGAAAATAGCCATTGCAAATCTTAAAATAGCTTTTTACTCTAAAAACAACACCCTCGAGAAGCTAGATAATCTATGAAAGAATAACTTTCCATAGGGAATATAGCAGTACTAACTATAGGATACTTTATAATTAAAAATCCTAACGTTAGATAAGTAGAGTAAACTTTGGAGCTTTTAATTAGAATTGAAAACTAAAACTTGTTAGGTTACCAACTTTAGGATAAAGTTTTTGCTTGATTATCCTAACATTAGACATGAAAGACAAACTATAGAGCTGTATCTTTCATTTTGAAAAAGAAAAGCTTTCCTAAAGTTAGAAGACATTTTCTAGGAGTATCCGAAGTTTAGATAGTAAAAGTAAACTTTGGAGCTGCAAATTAAAATCAAAACTAAATAAATTTATATTTACGAATTTTAAGATAAGATTTTTGCTTGATTATCCAAACATTAGAGATTGAAAACGAACCTTTGACAAGCTCTTTTCATTTTGGAAAAAAAGCAATACTAATGTTAGAAGAAATTTTCAATGATTATCCTAATTTTAGATAGTAAAAATAAACTTTGGAGCTGTAAATTAATACCAAAACTAAATAAATTTATATTTACGAGTTTTAAGATAAGGTTTTTGCTTGATTATCCTAACATTAGAGATTCAAAATGAACTTTTGGCAAGTTCTTTTCACTTCGGAAAAAAGCTTTACTAATGTTAGAAGAAATTTTCTAAGAATATGCCAACTCTAGAGATGTAAAATAAAGCTTGGAGCTGTAAATTAGAATCAAAACTAAATAAATTTATATTTACGAATTTTAAGATAAGATTTCTGCTTGATTATGGGGTGTGGGTGTGGGTGTGTGGGTGTGGGTGTTTGGGTGTGGGTGTGGGGTGTGGGTGTGGGTGTGGGTGTGTGGGTGTGGATGTGGGTGTGGGTGTGTCCTGTCTTCATATAAATGAACACACACCACACCCACACCCACACCTACGCCACAGAGAGTAAAAATAATAAAAAAAAAGCTAATTATATTGAAAATTCGGATGTTTTTCTTGCATATCAAAAATATGACTTTTTTAACGTTTTTTAAGGTTTTACGAATAGTTTTTGAATTTTTTAATACAAAAAAATGACTCAGAAATTTTTTTCATATATACAGTTTTGTAGAGCTCAATGAGCTCTATCGAACCATGTAAAACTATCCAACAAAAACATTTTAGTCCATTTTTCAATTACTGGCACTTTACTTTTCCATCTCCAAAAAAGTATAAAATTTCTGAA